CGTTACTGCTTGAGGTCGACTCTTTGTCTAAATGTGGGGGGGGCTGGAGTCTCTCCCAGCCGACTTAGGGTGAAGGTAGGGGACACCCTGGACAGGTCACCAGTCTATCACAGGGCTACACTTAGAGACAGACAACCAAGCACGCTCACATTCACACCTACAGACAATTTAGAATCACCAATTAACCTCAGCATGTTTTTGGACTGTGTGGGAGGAAGCCAGAGAACCCGGAGAGAACCCACACTGCACGGGGAGAACATGCAAACTCCACGCAGAAAGATTCCGGTGCCTCCACCGGGACACAAACCGGCGACCTTCTTGCTGCGAGGCAACAGTGTTATGTCAAATCATTTTTTAAAAATCCCTTTCTAGACTCAGAGGCATCCACAACGTTTTCTCTGAAGGCCTTAAAGAGCCCTTTAGATCTTCAAGATCCTCATTATGACACCACAGACCTGAAGTGTCAAAGGTTTAATTAAAAGCGGTTCCACCTGTTACTACCTTAGAAGGTTCTAATCATTGGCACCTTATCTGGAACCCCTGATTCTAATTTTATGGCTATTTTGAAAATGTCCAATTCATTTACTTCCTTTGCCATATCACCTTTATTTTTCTACATTGTTTCAAAAAGGATCAACTGTTTGTTTGTTCAAATAAAAAGCCAACCACTTGCTTTTTCCTCATGATTGCAGGTTTCTTTAACACACAGGCAGAGCTTGCATGGCTGCTGCTCCCATGTTTTCTAGCTGGATCCCGTCCTCGACGTCTGGTTGAATCTCTGGCTCCGCAGGCTCGGGCTTGTCCTCCTCAAACTTTTTCACCTTGATGTCTTTGCGCATCTGCGAGAAGAGTCGCTCATAAAACCACTCCAGGTCCTGAGGGTCCTCCGGCCAGATCAGGTACTCCCTCCTCTTCACAAAAGCTCTGATTGCGTTGCAGTTCATCAGCTGGTAGTGAGTCACCTTTGGATGTGTTACAGCAGAAAGCAGGTTAAGGTCAGCACTGAAAGTCAAGAAGTGAAAATGTTGTAGTTTGATTAAGTAAAAAAAAAAAACGACAGCACCAAAGTTAATTTAAATCCGTACGAAGCCTGACATCTACTGGTGAAAAGCACATCAAGAATACTATCAGTCGTCTGCTGATCTGTGGTGCTGCTACAGAGATTCTGTCAGCTGGGAAAAAACACCAGAAAACAGCAAATTTAAAGCTGTTTTCTCATGTAGTTCACAGAATTAAAGTAAGTTACTCTTTAAACCACCTATAGTTCATATTTTTACATTGATGACGAATTACAGAACTTCCTATGTGAAAGTAGTCTGATGGATCTACGAGGATTTACCACCTGACTGTAGTTTCATTCAGCTATAAGAAGCTTTAGAACATCTTTTGGCTCATTGTTTTGGTTTTCTCACCTGCTTTTAGCTTCTCATCAGGCAGCTTTTAGGAAAAAAACCTGCATTTATCAATAAAAGAGCCCTTTGTTTCCCAATATTAGAACTAAAAGCCAAGTGAACACTGGACTTACATTTGTCAGGTACCAAGGAATTAAACTCCAAATATATGCTTACAATGCTAATTATCTGTTAGATATACTGATACTGATTTATAGTTGGGATAATACTGCTGTGAAGCTTGTTTCTGCTCCCAGATCCAGAGAGTGGGTGTCAAATAAGTAAATCAGCTGCCAAATACACACCTTCCCCACCACCACCATAATCAGGATGTTCGTCAGCTCCTCCAGCATCCGGCCCTGAGCCAGAGTGAACGCCTCCAAGCACCAGCCATCTACAAAGACACAACACCTTGTCAGTTTCGCTCGTGCTTAGAAGAGTTTATTTGTAAATTCATTTTGTAATTCAGTGAGGAGCAGAAGAAAGGTTTGTTATGGCCATGCTGCGAGCTGCATTTACACATTGGGAAGCGACGCATTTCCCAATATATCAAAAATGTTCCTTTAAAGAAAGGAAAATACATTTTAAAGGCCAAAAAACAGTCAATGATAGTCCAACCCTCCACCTGTTTAATCCAAAAGGGACAACACTATCACAGAAACAACAGGTGTGAACTAGCCTGATATGTAAATATTTTACACTACTTTGTTGAGGTTAAACAGATGAGTTTTGAAGGCTTTTTTTCAGTTTTCAGACAGACGTAGGTTAGCTTTTTCCAAGTGGTAAACTCTGAGGCTTAAAAAAAACCCAAGACAGAAGATTCAAGAACTGCAGTTCCTCGAATGGCCACTTGAGGCTGACTTCAAAAGCAAGTGAGTCCCCATAGACCCCCATGTTGTAATGATCGTCTTTTCAGTAGAAGTTAATGTTTGTAACCTGTTACAAATGTGGCTTTGGTCTGTACAGCTAAGTTTCCTGTTCATAAGAACTGTATGGAGTGGTGTTTTTTAAAAAAAAAAAAAATCCCTTATTTGAATTGTATAAAGGCTTAAAGTTATGCATAATTAAGTGTTTGCCATTCTGAGTGACAGGAGGACGTCAAAGAACAGTCCATGGTCCACCTCAGCTCCACTCATGCTCCACCTCTTTGCTTGTTTTTGGATTAGTTGGGAGTTTGGTGGAATAAAACAATCCTAAAACAGATGCAACCATCACCACATTGAGCTTCAACACCTTTCTTCTGGAAAATTTGTAGGTGAAGAAGCTTCCGTTGTAACTGAAGATGCTTCAGTTCTCTGCACTGAAGAAGCCTGGATGAGAGGTAAAATGTCTTCAAGAAACACAAAAAATAGAGCTGGTTGTCTTCTGCTGAAGCTCTTAGAATTACCATGACCTGGATGACTGAGAATCTAAACAGACAATATCTGCAGGTTATTTTCTCAATTAATCAATTAGTTGTTTGGTTTATAAAATGTCAGAAAATGGTAAAAAAAAAAAAAAAGAAAAACTTGAAATGTTGATCGGTGCTTTCCAAAGCCCAAGATGACGTCCTCAAATGTCCAAACCCCAAAGATATTCAGTTTACTATCATGACGAAGTAAAGAAATTGAAAATATTCCATTTTTAGAACCTGGAATTAAAGAATTTGGATCTTTATCTTTTCTTTAAAAAAATTATTCAAACCAAATAATTGATTTTCAAAAAGTTTAGGATTAATTTAATTATTGAGAACCAACCGATTAATCAAGTAATTATTGCGACTCATTAGTGTGAAGTCACATGGTCCTAGGATGCACCTGTAATTCACTGCAGGAAGGTTAAAGTTCACCTACAAGAGGTCAGCAAAACCAAGAGGCTGGTGTTGTTACCCAGAGATCATATGGTATTTGAACGGTATTGACCTTCTTATCTAACTGTCAGCAACAAAGGGAAGCAGCACGTTTCCCAATATGTCAAAAACATTCCTTCAAAGAAAGAAAAATCTCGTCTAACCCTCTAATTTGTTACTACAAATGCAAATGAGAAAATATTTTACCTTTAAGGAACTGCCTGGAGACGACGCACACCGTCTTCTTACTGCCCCAGACGGCGTCTCTGATGTTTGAGAGGTGATCTTCACCTGGCAAGAAGTCTCTGGCTTCAAAACAACAGTGGAAGATGTTCTCCTCTGAAAACTGGTTGTCCAGCTTACTCAGCAAAGCCGCCTCCACCCACCCATAGTCACTGTTGGTAAAGCAGAGGAAAGCATCGTACTGCATCTCATTCTCGGGAGGCGCTGGTTTTGGGCCCTCGATGACCTTCCCGACGATCTGTTTGTAGATGATAAAAATGTGGCCCCTGAGTCGGGCGTAAACAATCCCGCTGAGGATGACAGTAGTGACGAGGAGGGCAGAGAAGATGAACAGAGCAAACTTCAGACCTGCCACGGCCTTTTCGTCATCTTGTTCACACAGTTCGACATCCAGCACATACTGCCAAAGAGGACGGTCATGGACGTCAGCTGGAAACTCGCACCTGAACTCTTCAACTGGGCTCAGGAAGGTTACATTGGTCACGTTCAGCCACGTCAGGAAGCCCTCCAGGTTGCAATCGCAGTGGAACCGATTTTCTGACAGGCTGAGGAAGATGAGCGACTGGAAAGTCATAGGATCGGGCGAGGCTATGAAGTTGCTGGACAGGTACAATTTTTCCAGGCTGACTGGAAAGACATCCGTCTGCAGATAGGTCAAGGCGTTATACGAAAGATCCAATTCTGTGATCGAGCTGAGGCCACTGAAAATCCCTGGTGGTAGAGTTGTGAGTGAATTGAAGCTGATATTTAGACCGAGCAGATTGTTGAGATGATCAAACAGATCGAGGCACTTCCCCTGTGCCCAAATGATCTGCAGGGAACTGTCGTAAAGATCCAGCACTTTCAAACTATTATTATGAGGCATTTTGGTGTTCTCACTTAGAGTGCACCACTTGATGAAGTTGCCTCCGTACATTAAATTCTTGAGATGCTTGAAATGAGTTAAAATGACATAAACGTCCTCCATGTTTGTTAGTCTGTTTTCTGTGACATCCACATGAATACTGTTACTCCCCAGTTCAATGATATTGTAGAGTGAACTCAACTTATTATCACCCAAAAGAAGAAATTCTAAGTTTGGCAGTGCCGCAGGAAAACCCAGATCTCGCAGTGAGTTCCCTGTCAGATATAAAGCTTTTAATTTGGAAAGATCGCTGAATGCTTCGTATCCCAACACCCCAATGTGGTTGTAAGACAAATCTAACACCCTGAGTTCTGTCATATTGGGGAATGTGTGACGATATATTTCTCCCAGGAGGTTGAATGACAGGTTGAGCATTTTTAAATGCCCCTGAACACCATCGAAGGCATTTTTGCTAATCTGATTTATTTTGTTTCGGGAGATGTCGATAATTCTTGCATCTTTTAGAGGACTAAAAACAGCCCTCTCTAAACCAAATATATAGTTTTTAGACATATTAAAAATGTCAATAGCACTGCTGTTGAGGCCTTCAAATGTGCTTTCATCTGGATCACGGAAATTGTGATGGGAAAACCCTTTACCAATGTGTCCAGAGTACATCAGATGAGCTATTGGAGTCCCCTGAATTGCTTTGAAAAACTGCCTTGTTTTGTCTAGGTCCATCCCATTGCTAGATAAGTCAAGAGTATTAAATGCAATCCCTTTGAACGGGTTTCCACAACTTAGCCAGTCTTCACTAGGTGTTTTGAATAACTTGTTGGAATGCAAGTTTAGGAATGTAAAATATAACCCCCTGAAACCAACAAGATCATCTTCACAAACTTTTTCGATCTTATTCAGTTTGAGGTCCAGGTGCGTGAACTTTTTGAGCCTTTGAAAGAACAGACCCGGCTGGAGTCTCACGATATTGTTACCAAAGAGATCAAGCTTTTCTAAGGACCAAAGTGGCTGCAGATAGCTCTCCGTCAGTATGGAGCCTGTCAAACTGCAATAATCCAAAAACAGGGATTGTAAATTGAACAGTCCTGCAAATGCCCTTGGCTCCAGTTGAAGGTCAACATTATAACCTAGGACCAAGTGTGTCAGTTTTCTCTGCCGGAGGAAAGCGTTGTTTCTTATGACGAGCTTTACGTTCTGCTTTCCGAGATCTAATTGTTGCAGTTCACCAAAATCCCTGAGGGAGGTCCTGTTGATTTCACTGATGTAGTTATTGTCCAGAAAGAGGTGGGTGATGTTGGGAGGCAGAGCTGGAACCTGGTAGTACCTCTGTCCACTGCAAAGAGCTTTTTGTCCACTCACAAAGCATGATGGGTAGCACGTGGTTACCTGTAGGTAGGAAGGTTACAGTGTTTCTGTAAATTTAAAAAAATAACCAAAAGTTCATTGACTTTCTTGCTGAGAAGAACAGTACCAGTCAAGAATTTGGGCACAGTTACCCATTCCAGAGTTTTCTTTATTTTTAGTGTTTTCTGTTTTCTGTAGAATGAAACGGCATTATTTGGTTTGCAAAAAACTATGGTAAAATATGTTTCCCACTTTAGATTTTTCAAAGTAATCGCCTTCTACTTTTATCATCCTCATTCGCTCAACCAGCTTCACTGTCTTGAAGACATAAAAAGAAACATGCCGAGCTGCTGTTGCCCACTTTTCCTTCCCTTTGCATTCCAACTCATCAAGAACCACCTCAGTTGGGTTTAGTTCAGATGATTGAGCTATGCAGAACTTCATCACTCTGCTTCTTGGTCAAGCAGCCCTTACAAAGCAGGGAGACGTGCTTTGGCTCATTTTGCTGCTGAAACATAAATAATGGTCCCACTGATCTCAGAGATGCGATGGTGTGGTAGCCATTGCGGTTGAGTGTAAATTTCTGTATGAAACCCCTCCAGTGTCACTAGTGAAGCTCAAATCAAACATCTCCTCCATTCTTAATGGTGGAAACCACACATGTAGATCCCATCTGACACCATGTCTTACAAGGACATGGAACCACAATCCTCATATTTGGACTTCATAGACCAAAGCCTTTCCTTGTGTTTTTGGCTCCAACATTTGTCTTCTTTGTCTTAGTCTCTCTCAGTAGTGGTTTCTCTGCAGCAGTTTGACTGTGGAAGCATGATTCGGATTTCCACAGTCTCCTTCCAACTGTTGATATTGAGATTTATCTGCTGCTTGAACTCTGAGAAGCACTGATGGTAATCTGATATGAACACTTGGTTCTCATGACAGCCGGTGTCACCACAGCAACATTTCATGGTTTTTGCACTTGAAGACACTTCAGAGTTCTTGAAGTTTACAAGTATGACTGATCTTCATGTCTTCAAGTAATGCTAGGCTCTTATTTGTCTTTACCTGAGCCATTTTTTATTTATTTTTTTGCCATAATATGGTTGACTAAATTAGTTTGATAGCGCTGTTTGCTGTAGACTTTACACGAGTGATGGTCTTAAACTCATCTTTCTTTGAAATTTACGAAACAGTCAGCTGGCCAGTTGGCTCTCGTGGGCCGTAAGTATCACTACTGTGGAAAGTAGTAAAATTAAGATAAACACATGACTGAGTAGGTGTGTCCACACTTTTGACTGTAACTGTAGATGCAAAGATACTGGAAATGTTGGATACACTTTATAAACTTTATTTTAAGACTTTGTTGATATGCAGACTTCACATGTTCAAAGCAAATGGAGCGACGCACCAGAGAAACACTGAAAAGGAAGGTTTTGTTGCAAAAAATAAAAAAGAAGTCATATGGAAATAGTTTGGCAACAGAAGTGTTGGTGTTGTTTAATTACGCACACTCTGTCTTGCAAGACTTTCCACCATATGACAACAACGTCAACACAACGAGTTTATTTAACCATTTAAATCAGCTCCACTAAGCTCAGTATGGTGTGCAAAAGCTAGATCTGAGTGCCATCCAAAGCCTGAAAAAAAACTATTTTGGAAGCCTTTGTCAGTGTTACACTGTATGAGAAAGGCTCCAAACAGTTTGCACTTCAAGAAAGTCTCTAAATTCCAACGAAAACCAAAGTTTATAAGATATAACAGGAAACATTAATGAGCTTTAAATGCAGACTTTTTTGTTTTTGAAGAGTGTCAGGCGAGTCTTAAGTGAAGCCCGCCTATCTTCATATTTCTAAATATTTGTTTTTACTTCTTTTTTTTGTCTTTATTGACAAGTTCTAAGGACAATGTTACAGTATATCCATACCTGCAGATTTAAAGCAGCACAAACCAACAGCAAGAGCAGCATCCACATCCTGCCCTCCACCTAACAAGACATCCAGGGAGAAAGCCAAAAGTTGGACAACGCTTAACACATTTAATAATGTCACATCGGTTCAACAGCGTAAATATAAGGCAGTCATGTGAGCACGTAGTGAGGTTGGTAGGAAGAAGGTGAAGCCGTCAGACTGTTTGCTTTGGAAGGCTTATGGTTCACTGGTGCAGCTTCAGTGTTGCAGTGTTCTTAGTTTGTTCATTACACAGTCGTTCCTGCCTGATGCGAGCTTGGATCGTAAAGCTCCATTTGAAAAGTTGACATGTTTGCGTTTAGCTGATAAGTGGAATGTGCCATATTGCAGCGATCATTACTGCTGCCACCCGCCACACTGAACAATACGTTTTATTAGTGTTTGTACCTGTAAACAGTACAAGATTAAGTTTGCCTTCTTGTCCAGTTTGAGCCAATTAAAGGAGCGATAAATGACGAGGGGCGGTCCACAGATTAATGCTCAGCTTGCACGTCGTAGGGAGGACATTAACATAGCCTGTAGAAACACACATGTAGCATCTCCTGACGCTCTGGCGGGTACTTTTTAAACGTCTGTGAGAAATGTGGAATCAGGGCAATTTATCGTAGGTAAAAGCCTGAATATTTCAGTCTCCAGCTGTGCCTTAAAATGCAACATTTGTTGGGGTGAAACCATTAATTCAAACATTACTGAAATTGCAAAACAGACAAGTGCACTATCCAAGCTGCAGAAGCTGTATTTTTTGTATTTATGTTTTAAAATATGTCACAACAAACCATTATAAATGAAGCTTTTACAAATGATGTAATAAAATATGCATGTTTGGAAGAGACCACAGTAAAAATCACATTATTTTTACGTATTCTTTAAATCATGACTCGAATATCTGTTCAAGAAAAACCCAATGTGTTTTTTTTTTGTTTTGTTTTGTGCATATCTTTCATCATTTGCTTCTAACAGGTCATCAAACTCACAGGAGGTGCAGCAGATGACAGAAGTGAACACACCTGTAGAGTGTCACCTAAACACAAAATGATCCAACAGTGTCACCTCTCAACTAACTGAAATATTTCTAAGTTGATGAGCAAACTATTTCTTGTTTAATGAACAGTCAGGAACAGATGCATTAAAGTAGGAACTCAAAGCAACATTTTTTAAAATTTCAAATCAGAGCAAATAGTGTTTGAATTAGAAGTAAAGCAATAACTCATAGTGAACAGGTGTGTACTCACCCTGTCCTACATAGTGTATTGTTAGAATAAACTCAGCGTATTAAAAATGTTAAAACCTGATTCAACACTGTTATTAACCTTCTACACCCGTCTTTGAAGTGAATGATCATAAATGACAGTTGTAGCTGCAGGGTGAGAATTTCTAGAACCTCTTGCACAATGCGGCTGTTTTTAACAGCGTTTCTCTGAACTGATCGAACACGAGGCTTTCTACAGACTTTTCAACACACCGTCAAAGAAAGTGTGAAAAAAAAAAAAAGAAAAGAAGACGCGTTCCAGTCATATAAATGCACAGTTTGTCGGTCGTGAAGTGAAAACCTTACCTTTGTCGTTGCAGCTGGAGAAGCCCTCACAGTGTTTGTGGTGTCCGGTTGACTGTGAAACGCCTGTTCCTGCATGCTTTGCTGAAATATCTGCTGCCGGACCTGCAGACCTGCCTCATATTGATTTTTCTGTCAGTCTGACAAAAGCCAGGAATGTCGCAACTTCCCACATAAACACAAATCTGCTTCTTCTTTCCACGTTTCCTTCCCTTGCTGCAGTGCTC